TCAAATAAATAAATAAATAAATAAATAAATAAATAAATTTAAAAAAAAAATAAAAAAAGTAAAATAGATGAGTCCTGGTGTTCACTGGATGTAGGATGCAGGTAGTGAAGTCTCAGGTTAGGACTCCTAGAGTAAGCCCTCAGAAGAAAATTAGTTTTCTTCTGATCTCCCTCCCTCTCTTTTCCAAGGGGGGAAAAATCACAGTACATTTTCTTTTAAAGTTTTACTAAAGTTTAATGGAACAATTAATATATCTTTGTTAACCCCAGTACAAAAATACAGTTGATGACTTGACAAAAATGGCTCCATGAAGGGCTTGAAAGTTAAGTTTCTCCAAGTCAGGAGGGAAAGCATGCTTCCAGCGGGGGCTGAATCCAAGCACACAGCCTCCTGTACACGCATGCGTGCAAACAGGGCAAGCTGAGCACAGAGGAAGGAGGTCGTAGGGACCCAGTAAGAACTTTAAGATTTTTCCCAGGAGAAAAAAAAACTGGCTGGTCTCCTTGATGAGTGATACAATTACCAATTGGTTGTTTAGGACTTTCTGTTTTCAAAAAAAAAAAAAAAAAATTTTAAGCTGCCCTGCAATGTTAATATTGTAGAAAAGATGCTACTCGTCTTCTTTCACCAGTAAGGTGAATAACGTTGGAGGAACTGCGAAAAGACTCAAATACTGAAATGTGAGGAGTAAATCTCCAAGTGGCTCAAGTTTTGTATCATCAAGTTTCACTCTTCACATTCAAAGACAAATGGACATTTAGGTGACAGGTAGCAGGAGAAGGAAGTCTGCCACACTGTTAGATCCATATGGATGCCAGACAGCTTTTGTGCGCAGACTTCTTCCACAGTGAGAGAGCGCCTTCCAGCACAGGTAGAAGCAAGATGTTCTGGTTGATTTAATTGTTCTGGGTGATTCCTCAATATTCCTTCCCTTGCTGCTTTCCTTCTGGAACACTGACTTTGATGAAAGAAGGGGTACATTCATGTTACAACTCGTCTTCAAGATGTTTCTCTCTGAAGGCATCACCTGTCAGTCTTTCTTGAGCTTCTTTCATTCCCTGAACAACTGTGAAATCAAAGTGGAGGGGAAAAGTTATGAAACAGATCTTTTAATATCTGATATTTGACAATAAATGCAGACTTTTAAGTGTCTTAGGAAAATCATGAGATCTGGACTGAAGATCTAGTTGTGGATTTTAGCCTTGGTATGGCATGGATCTCTTTGAATTTGTTTCCTTATCTATAAAATGAAATAATGGTACTTTATGCAGCATATTATTAAAAAATGAGAACACCTTCTACAATTCCTACCACCCCCATTATGCCTTTTGGATGACTATTGTGTTCATTTCATTGTCTGTATTGGTTACAGGTTATACTGATGTGCACGAGTGAGTATACGTATTGCCAAGGATGCGGGGTGAAGACAGGTCTCCACTCAGTATAGTCATTTTCACTTTCAAGTATATGAGAAGTCATTTTTAGGCAAGAGAGAGAGAGAGGATGAGAATTAGAAGTAGGGCCTTGGGCTGGTGAGATGGCTCAGTGGTCTAAAGCACCTACTTAGAACAAGCTAAGCTAAACAAAGCACAGGGACCGCGGTTCAATCCCCAGCACCACATGCCAGCCAGCCCCGCCCCCTGGCGGGCTGAGCAGGCCACACACACACACACACAATAAATAAATAAATAAATAAATAAATAAAATTAAAAAAAAAAAAAAGAAGAAGTAGGGCCTTAAGCAAAGAAGAGAAAATTTCTTATACACCTCAGGGCAATAGTTGGTTATTTTCTGTTTTGCTTATGGCTCCAGTCACTGTTCAAGTTTCGTGTCAGCTGAGCCACAAAGAAGCTACAGAGTCTAGCTCATATTTGAACTATGTTAGTGTGGAGATGGTGGTTGATAACTTGGGTAAAGTTCTAAAGGGAAGGTCAATCCTGAGAGGCAAAAATTGGAAACCTAAAGCCCAGTTACCCTTCTCTGTGTGGAAAATCTTCTAATACCAATATCCAGGGATCTGCATTTGGTCAAGAAGAGGACATTCTTCACACCCAGAAGAGGTGATAATACCCACATATCTCTTCTGCTTGGCTATTCTCAGAATACAAATTCCAAGGACTTAACATGGTCAAGGACACGGCTGCTAGACAACAGGGTATGCATGAATATTTGGCAAACTCCCTTTTATAGATCAGGGTACAAACGAAGGAAGACAGTGAAAGTTCATGGCATGAATTCCAAGCTCTGTCTTTAAAGTGCTTGTGCTTCAGAATTCAGACAGGATTTCAGCCTTCCTTCATCTATCTATGCTGATGACATTTTTCTCTGCCTGGAACATGCTTTGTGCATTCTTACGCTGACTAGGTCTCACTGTCCAGGATTCACTCCACATACAATCTCTCCTAGCAAGCTTCACATGCTCTCCACGTTGGGCTGCATTCTCCCCACTTCTTGCTTCTAGTTTCAAATGCTCTTTTCTTATCTGTCAGAGACAAATTCTTATAGTTTTGGGGATTTTTTTTTTGTATTTTTAGGACAGGGTGTACATGGTCTCACTGTGTAGAGCAGACTGGTAGGGATCCTCCTGTTTATAGCCTCCCAAGTGCTGGGATTACAGAAGTGCTGGGATTACAGGAGTGTGCCACCATATCCAGTCTCAATAGGGTCTCAGCATGCCCCACCCCGGGGACAGGGGCAGCACAGCAGGCCCAGGGATCAAACTCCCAGCCCCTGCCCCTGCGTCTGCCTAAGCAGGCACTTTAATCCACTGAGCTACTTGGCCGGCCCACTCTTACAGTTCTTGATCCAGTTAAAGTTTAGTATCTGTGCAACCTCTTAGACTTTGTCAGCTGTTTTTATTCTTTCTCTAGATTTTTACAGGAATAGTATTAGCTCTAGATCTAAACACCAGGAGTCTTAGTTCTTTAGCTTTTCATGAGTCAGTCAGCTCCTCCTTTGGATTTCATTTTTGTGGGACTGGAGAATGAACTCAGCCTTCACACTGAGCTACTTCCCTAGCCACTTTGTATTGAGACAGCTATGTCACTAAATTGCCTAGGTTGGGCTTGGATTGGATTACAGGCATGTACTACCATGATCAGTTCCATGGAATTTCTTTTTTTAAAAGGAGAGGTTTAATTTGACGTGTCCATTGGATTTTTAAGTAGCTAGAGAATGGCTCAGTTTTATCTTTCTCCTTTATCTTACATAGGATCTAACCAAAAGCTAGTCCTATGAAAGAGATCCTCGGCTAGCACATTGGATTAAGCTCCTACAACAGACCCTGCCTGTCATTCCTCTGAGTTAAATCTAACAGCAATTCTCCCTTCTTTCACTCAGGAGAACTGTACCTTGCTCAGCACTGACGTAGAAATACTTGTAGCTGGGGTTTCCATTCTCATTGATGATTTCAGGACGCACCTTGCCACTGGGATCTATTACAGATAAAACAGTACAGAGATTGCAGTAAAAGAACTTCCCAACACCACACTGTATACTAGGTCCTTTGGGAAATGATACCCGCCCATCTTTGCAACCTACTTTCCCACCCCTGGCATTTCACGCTTTAGTCACAATGCACTCCTTACAATTCTAGAATACAAATCTTTTCAGCCCCTTACTGTGTCCTGGCATAGCTGTTCCCTTTTTCCAGGCATGTTCCCTTTCTGCTTGATGATGGGGTCATACAGTTTTATATCTCCCATTGAATCCAAGCAGAGATTAGGTGATCATGAACTATTTCTTATAAACCTGTTTGTGGGAAGAACTTTGTGTGGTTATTCTGTTGCCTCAGCTACACTATAGGGTCAGAGTGGGAACTGTGGCTTATCACTATTCTTATAAAGCCTAGCACAACCCTTAAAATGAGGCTAATGAACAGATGACTGCTAAGTGAATAAACAGAAAATCAAACTTGTCACTTCTTATAAAAGTAGTATGTTAATTGGAAAAATTTTCATACAAACTAGCAGTTCTGGCATACTCAGAATTCTGAATTCCTCTAATCTCTTAAATTTCTTTCTGGTTTATTATTTCTCTTTCTGAGACAGGATCTTGCTACACAGTTCAGGCTGGCCTTGTTCTTACTTTGTAGCCCAGGCTGATCTCAAACTCACAACAATCCTCTTGCCTCAGCCTCCCGAGTGCTGGATTTACAGGTGTGTACTACCATGTCTAGCTTCTGGCTTCTGTTTTTGGATAACCCAATGTAGCTTCACTAGGTGCAGCCCGTGTCTTGCATCATTCTCTATCTACATCATGGTTCCCAAGAGTAAGATATTTGGGCCTTACCCAAGAAAAGGATTCGTGGAATATAACCACCATCAGGACTAAAATCTTCATCTTTGGGTTCTTCTTCATCCTATTAAGATTAAATGTAAACTATATTAGATCATGTTCTCCTCAAAGCCTTTTAGTGCATTCTTCCTCTTGCTGGGACTCCAAATCCCTGCATAATCTAACCCTTGGGTACTTCCCAAACTTCATACTTTACTTCATTTAGTCTTCTTTGGCCAGTTACTTTGCTTAATGTTGTCATCCGATAAAACAGATACAAAATATAAAATAAAATAAAATAAACCAGATATGATCTTAAGACATGATTTGAACTTGCTCTTATCCTCTGTCTAGACACACTTCATCCTATCAACTCTGTTTCAGATCTTTGCTCAAATGTTACCTTCTTGTCTAATCACTTTCCAAAATTGCATCCCTGATACCCTTTATTTTTGGCTACAACATTTATTACTATTTGACATACTTGCCTTGTCTTTTGAAACTAGAACAGTATTTCAATGAGCAAATGTGCTCTTTCGTTCACTGATGTATTCCCAGTGCCTACATGAATGACTCATAAACAGGATTTATTGAATGCATGAATTAATGAAATTAGCATTTTGGTTACAATTGTAGAGTAATACTCTTCCCAGGAGATATAACCATGTAATCAGTTTGTTTGCTTGTTTTTTGTGGAACCAGGGATTGAACTCAGGCCCTTACGCTTGCCAGGCAAGCGCTTATTCTACTGAGCTATCTATCTCCCCAGCCCATGGTAATCAGTTTTATCGTTACTGTTTTAAAGAAATTTCTTTTTTTTTGTCTGATTAAAAATTTATTTATTCATATAATTTAATAACAGACTAGGATTACTTTACCTCTTCAGAATGACCACAAGAAGGAACAGTAAGAATCATATCACTTCAATGTGCAGAGGGGCACCAAAAAGCACATTTGAAAGTACTTCAGCCCATTAGGCATAACTTTAAATTCCAATGAAATATAAATTTTAGTTCACAATCTGCCTCACTCTGAAATCTCCACTGTTAACTACCTTCTCCCTTGGTCCACTGTCTCTTTCTCTTTCTAACCCAGGAGCCAGCCCACTCCTGCACACCTGGGCTCTGCTGGTGGGAAGGGATGAGCAGGACCCCAGGAGAGCCAGGCCACCCACTGAAGGTGTCCGGGCCAGCTTCCCAGTGCTCCCAGGAACGTTCTGCGCAGACAGAAGCCTGGGTTACGCTGTGGTGGTAAAACACCAGCAGGCCTGGAATTCAGTGGAGAAGCAAATGCAGCCTGGACAATTGTAAGTGCTACACAAAGTGAAAACAATCGTTCTGGGAGCTGCTGGCCCCGCGGTCGCGCCCCTCGTGCTGCTAGGGCACCAGGGGGCACAGCCTCAGCACACACGGCTTCTGTGCCGTGATGGGCGCGCTGGTCTGAGGAGCCACATACTGCTCTCCTGATTGCTGTTCCACCCCAGAGTACACTGCATAGCTTCCTAAATACATATCACCAGAGAGGCAGAGTGGAAATATTAGTGCATGGAGGCCAACAATGTTACAGTAAGTATAGTGGCTGATACACTGTGTCAACTCCAGCAGCTAAAACTTAACTAAATTGGCCAGCAGTTCCACACCGTAGGGCATGGAGGCCCCTCTTCAGGCAAGGAGGGCCTACCCTAGAGTGACTCAGCACTTAAGAGGACATAAAAGGGAACTGAGGAAGGGTGGAGAGCGCCACTTCTTCAGAGGCACTCCAGTCTTCTCAGTCAGCCTAGGAGGGCGAGAGGCTTGCTGGAAGCTCCAGCTGTCTCCTCCCTTGGCTCTTTGCTGCCATGAACTGCTGCCCTCTGCCACATGCCACTCTGCCTTGCAGACAGCTGTCTATGGACTGAAACCTCCACTAACTGTGAGCTAAGTAAACGTTTTCTTCCTTAATTTGAGGGGTCAGGTATTTTGTACCAGCAATGAGAGAAAAGTAACTGTGACACTAAGCCAACAAGCACATCCATAATGAGGAAAATTGTTTTTTCTTTAAACCAATCTTGCACATTTATGTCTGGAAACCTAAACAACTAAGCTGAAGATAATATCATGAAATACAGCAACCATTGTTAAATTTCTATCACTTGTTTAGTGAAATTTTGTATCATTTCTAATTTAAAGAAATTTCTTAAAGGAATGCTTATTAAAGATATTATTTTTGTCTCCTCTGAATAATAAAGACAATAATTTACCATAGAAAGTGGTAAGAAATTCATGTACATGAGAAATAATAACTATAATTTATGATGTGGGTCCCATTTCAGGGGTTACAGGGTCCATTTCTTCAAAATGCAATCTATCTTAATAAGATACGCCAGCATTCACGCTCTTCACCAACTATATAAGCAACGCCTGTATGGCCCAATGTTAACTACTAATGTGTCCAGAAGATTTTTAGTTCTATGCTTAAGCAAATATTGTCTTCATAGAAATTTACAGCTAGAAGTGTCATCATGCAGCACACGAGTAATTCCATACTTGAAGGATACAGGATTATAGCTAGGTCACAGTACCTATTCAAATCACTTATTCAACTATGATTTTGAACAAACTGAATACCTTTTAGGCCTAAGATGTTCTTTAAATTGGGGGCAGTTCCAGTGGCCTAAAAATCACTCCAAATCCAAAGGTTGATACTTTATGACTTCAGAATCCAAGACCTGATGCGGGGCAGACAGCTTAGTAGAATAGGCGCTTGCCTGGCAAGCGCAAGGTCCTGAGTTCAATCTCTGGAAAAAAAAAAAAAAAAAAAAAAAGAATCCAAGACCTGAAATCCATATATATCAAGTACACAAAAAATGTCTTATGATAAAAAAAGAATGGTTGTAAATAATAAGATGAGCGCAGAGTTGTTCAACTGAATCTTGTTTGGTAGGGAGCTGTACCCTCCACATATGATTATTATCTTTAGTTATAAAAAATGCAAAATGTCATAATCAAAAATCAAGAATGAGGGCTGGTGAGATGGCTCAGTGGTCTAAAGCACCTACTTAGAACAAGCTTGGCAAAGCAAAGGGACCACGGTTCAATCCCCCAGCACCACATGCCAGCCAGCCCTGCCCCCTGGTAGGCTGAGCTGGCCACACACACACACACACACACACACACACAAATAAATAAAATTTAAAAAAACAAAAAACAAAAATCAAGAATGAGGGGCCAGGGAGATAGCTAGGTAGGATAGGCACTTGCCTAGCAAGCTCAAGGTCCCGAATTCAATCCCCGGTACCACACACATGCACACACACCCACACAAAAAAAATCAAGAATGAAGACCGGGTGTAGTGGTACATGCCTATAATCCCAGCACTCAGGAGGCTGAGGCAGGAGGATTGTTGTGAGCTTGAGGCTGATCTGGGCTATATAGTAAGTTCTAGCCCAGCCTAAATTGTTCGAGATCATATTTCAAATATCAAAAATAGGCTGGGGAGATAGCACAGTGGCATAAAGGTCTGCCTGACAAGCGCAAGGTCCCGAGTCCAGTCTCTGGTACAAAAAAAAAAAAGAAAAGAAAAGAAAAGAAAAGAAAAGGAAAGAAAGAAAGGAAAGAAAAAAAAGAGAAATTTTTCCTTAGAGAATGGAGTTTGAGTGAGAAAAAATAAAAAATAATAAAAATTAAAACCAAGGATAAATGAACCTTAAAATTTAGTTATTTTATTCAGGCTCTCCTCTTCACTTCCTCCCCAAAGTACATGCTGAATGGCTTCCTATCGTATCTAATGCAAGTTTTAACTCTAGAAGTCAAAACATTTTTAAAAATACATATAAAAACACGCATATACACACACACAAACTAGAGGTTCAGAGAAAAGCAAATATATACAAATAGGCTCTACTCAGTATAACTTTACACTACTAATAATACTAAATTTAAAATAAAAAAATTTTTTTAAAAAAGGAAAAATTCAATCTTACCTCAAGATTTACCATAACAAAATTATGGGAAAGTTCTGAAATCTCTTTAGATTCTGCAAATTTGGGCTTTAAAGCTGGAGGAAAAATAAGAGATTTTGGAAGAGAAGAAACATCATCCTACCCAAACCATAAAGAACATGAGCATCACTAATTCTCCTGGACAGTTCAAGTGTTTCCTAAATTGATGCATATAACTGAAAGCCTTTTTTTTTTTTTTTAACTTAAAACCAGAATTGGGACTCCTAAATTTTGACCCTCCTTCTGGTACTTATTTACATAGCTGGTATGACCTTGAATGACATTTTATTTTCTCTGAAACTTTTATCTCATTGATAAAGGATGATATACAAATCGGGTGAGTATTACTATCTGCTTTTTAGTTACATTTCAATAACTTGTACCGAAAATAGAATGGAACTCGGCACTAATATATACACACACATATTCACAATTACTTATACTAATTTTACATGCCTTCTTCAACCAGGACATTATTAGGTATAGCACACCAAATTGATGAAAAAACCTGGCTGGGAAGTGGGCAGGGTGGTTAGTATGGAGAAAGAATGCATGACACAATATCAAATCACCTCAGATTCTCCTCCAGGAGTCTAACCTAATTACCTGTCATGTCTCCAGTACATAATTTCATCTTCCTCTAATATTCATGGTCTGTGTGACATATTTTAGCACTTAACTTCATGTTCTGTATGGCACTACATTTTAATTACTTCATCCTCCCCAACTCCCTCACCCTTGCAAATAAAAATGTACAATTCATGGAGGGAGGGAATCTGTGCTAACATTTATTATATGTTAAACTTTGACAGCAAGTAAAGCCATATTAATATGATGAGCTGTAAAAGGCTCAAGTCAATAACTTCTGAGGATAACCCACTAATATTAGAGACTGTAGACAGTGTTAGATTGTTTAGCGGAATTCAAACACCTACAGTATTTTAGATGCCAACAGAATATCCACCTCTGACAGGACACACACACACACACACACACACACACAAAGGGATACAAAGGAAAGATCATTTTGTATTTATATATACAAAATAATTAGGATAAATATACAGCTACTTTCATTTAATTCAATGAGAAGAGGTGTACTAATAGTGTTTGGACAGGATATCCTGTCTGCTTCTTGTACTATAGATAACCACTGAGAAGATAACAACATTCAATGTATTGATTATCTAAACTGTTCTATTAATCAGCTTTGAAGCTGTCTCATTCATATTTATTTCTCAATTAAAAAAATAAATAAAATTAAAAGAATCCCCACTTGAGGGGAAAAAAACAAAACTTTGACAGCACATTTGAAGTTGGATGTTAAGTGCTAGAACTTACCTTTGCAAGCACCACACCAAGACTTATGAATAATCACCATCAGAGGCAATCCACTTAAAAATAAAACAAACACATTTTAAGCTAGTAATTTTACTTCCTCAAAGCTAGTCTAATAAAATGTTTATGAAGATAAAGATTAATGTACAAAGGCATCATGTACTGTACTGACCTGGAATGCTGGGAGCCCGTGGAAGCTAGGAAACTGATCAAATGTGTGTAGGTGGGACTAGTCTTCAGTGCCTAAAGCAAACAAGCTACCTCGGTCCTGAGATAAACATCCCATCTGGTTAAGGTCAGCTATTAGTCTCTAGGCAACCTTGTGTCACATGTTACTAAATGTAAAGTATAAACAAATGTAAGTTTTGTTGAGCATGGCATTAGTCTTGCCCATCAGGCAGACCAGTGACCACTTAGCCCAGCTTTTGTCTGCCTATCTTTCTTATTCCTGCCACTGTTTCTCCCCAGGCAGAACCGATCGCAGTGAGACCAACGGATCCCTACACTGGAAAAACCATGAGACAATCTAAATATTCAATAATAATATATTGTAGCAAAATTATTGGTAAATTCTGACTTTTCTGCAAGTTTGTACTTTAAAGCTAGGGAAAAAGATTGTGGGATACAAAAGAATATCATAAACATTTTTTTTTTTTGGCAGAACTGGGGATTGAACTCAGGCCCCTGCACTTGCCAGGCAAGCACTTATTCCACTGAGCCATCTCCCCAGCCCCGGAAACCTGCACTTTCAAAGCATGTCCATTTTATAATGTCTTGCTCCCTCTTTTCTCCCTGGTACTTATTGTTGTGGAACAGGAATTAAACTGAAGCCTGCAGGTCAAATGCAGCCCACTTCTTGCTTCCATAGGGCCAACAATATAGAAATCTTTAAACATATTTTTCAGTAATCAAAAAGCAAATTTAAATACTTTGTGATGTCTAAATTATGTAATTCACATTTCAGTGTCTACATTTTTTTTTTTTTTAATTTCAAGAGGGTTATACCATTCAGGAGATATTTTAATACCAGATTTGAGAGCAAGCCATTCTATTTTCCTACCTTCAAAAATCCATACTGTTCCGGCATAGAGTACGTATCAGATATTAAAGTGACAAGATACTACACTTGACTTTAACCAAAGGTCAAGAAGCAATGTCTCTATAGTTTTGCCCTATTAAGATACATTCATGCTGATTTATTTAGTTATTGTATATATAGCAAGATAGATAACAAGACCACAAAGCCTAATAATATGTTTGGCCCTTTGTAGACCATTGTTCTAACATGACGGTTCATGGGCTGGGGAGATAGCTCTGTGGTTTAAGTGCCTGCCTGGCAAGTGCAAGGTCCCGAGTTTGATCCCAGTACCACATGCCATGCCAGCCACTAAAACTGGGCGTGATGGTGTACACCTGTAATCCAAGCACTAGGGAGGCTGAGACAGGTGATCACTATGAGTTTGAACTGAACAGCGAGACTCTGTATCAAAAGGATAAAAAAATAAATGATGGTTCAAATGTTAACTCCTTAGTAAAGCATTCCCCAACCCACCTTCTTCCACAAGCTAGTTAGTCCTCTCATATGAGCTCCCAAGAATTTTGTCACCACCCTCTAGACTTTTACATCCTACTATCATTTGTATTTCACTTTTCAAGGTCAATTAGCTTGAAAAATCATAGGACAGACACTGATAAAGTAGTTATACTATCAGTTCAATAAAACCAACAAAAGAATAAAAAGATAAGCTCACGATGAAACACATTAGGAACCACAAATTACAGAATTTGTCGTAATAATCACTCTAGGTGAGACCAATCCAGTCCGAGTATTATCAAAGTACTATTTCTGCCAAGTATATAGCATGAGTTGGGTGTGCCAATCTGTCCTTAAGGCCAACTTAGACTACACAGTCTAAGTCTCAAAAAATTAGTAATGAATGTGTCACATTAGGATACATGGAGAACATTAAGTTATATTAAGGGAAACAGACCCCAGCAGGCTCCACTTTTAAAATACTTTATTAGAGAAAATAGTCTAGTGGTTATGTCTTCACTTCCACAGAAGTCAAAGCTTCCCAAGAACTGAAAACAAAGGATTTACCTGTGAATCCTACTCCAAGATAAAAGCTAGCAAAAAAGTGCGTACAATACTCAAAAGATGTGTGTTGTATAAAAGAACAGATACAGAATTGTGCCATCTTCAGTTTCTGTTCACAATTGTTTGTAAAATAAACCTAACCCACAACTCAGAGAAAATCAGTTGTGTGACATTACAACTAGAATCCAATCTACATGTTCTCCGTCCACATGAGCTCTCTCTGCTCAAGAAATCTGCAAACATCCTCCACGTTGTTCTTCATTCTCTTCTCAACTCTGTAAACTTAAGTGCCTGGCACAGAAGTAGCCAGAAACAACTCAGCAGCTCTAGCAATACATAAACCAGCTCTGCAAACCTTCAAACTATTCCTCCTACACAAATAAAGTGCAATGGATGTCAGACAACAACCATAGCACCCCCCCCTACCACTCTGATTAGTGCAAGCTCTGACTCAGATACTGAAGAAACATGTTGGCCAGCTGGGGCAGGTTCTCATTGTTGGGATGCATTTTAGTGTAGGAAATAAACTGGCGACGGAGGCGACTCAGCTCTGCCATGGTCAAAGGCCTTGTAAAGCGCAGGTGCTCCGTAGTACCGGGAAGTGTTAGCAAGTCTCCGGGGACAGCGTTCTTCTGTGCCTCCAACAGTCCTGCCAAGACTTGGTTTGTGACCTGGTCCAGCTGGTGCAGAAAGCTGCCCGAGGCAAGGGGCTGGGACTGCGTAGATTGATGGGGTGGTGGAGCCCGGTTCTCAAACAAGGCGGCCCGGATCTCGGCCAGGGGCAAAGGCTCCTCTAAGCCTACCACTGTGAACAAAGGCTGATCCCAGCGGTTCCGAGAGTCCGGGGCTTCAAAGCGCTGCATGAGAGCCTCCAGAAGTTCGGGAGGGTAAAAGGCACCAGACTCGTGTTCTGCAGATTTCTCGGATTCGGGAGCCTGCAGCGCTGGAGAATTTGAGGTACTAGTTTCCTTTGGCTCCACGTCGCTCGATACATTATTTTGGGGTCCCCCATTTACTTCAAAGCCCACAACACGCGGTTCCTCGGAGCCGGCCGGCCCAAGTTGTGTGTTCTTCTCCGCACGCGGCCTCCAACTCACACTCACGTTCCGGGCCCGCTGCTCCTCCGCTCCGTCCACCCGAGGTCCCGGGCTCCGACCCCCAGGCCGTACGCAGTAAAGCAAGCAGAGCGGTGTGTGCGCCGCCCGCGCCAGGCAGTAGAGCTCGTAGCGGAAGCCCTTGATGTAATTAAGCGAGTCTAGAATGACCACGTCCTGGCGACTCAAGCGCCGCTCCACCGAGGCTCGCAGGGCCCCACGCAGTGCCTTCTCACGGGCAGGGTCGCAGTACACTGTCGCGTCCTCCGTGCCCAACACCGAGGCGTCATCCACTACGTACACCGCTCGGCCCTCGGTTGCCAGCGCCTGGCGCAGTTCTTCGGCCCGCCGGCTCTTGCCGCTGTACGGCAGCCCGCAAAACACAACGAGAGGCATCCTCTCTAGGAGCGGCCACATGCAATCGCATCACCAAACTTCCGGGTCTCTGACGTAAAACGGAAGTACAAACGCACTTCCGGGCTTTGAGGGCTCTCACAGGATCTCCTGTTTCTATGGAGACATTTATGCCAAATAGGACCAGGTCCAGTTTTCTCAGAAAGACGTTGCAGAGATTAAAATGGCATCAGCTATTTATGCCAAATGTTATAGGTTTCAGGACAATGTGATCTCCCTACGGATCAAAGACTATGCCCATCCATTTGTTTATTTGAGATAATTTAATAAGCATGAAATACTGCAAAGCTACTGGCGCTATATTTAGCATGCAAATGTCAATTCATAAAGGCTTGCTCTCCTTCATGCTTCCTCTTACACCTTCCTCATGGCTTTCAGTAAGTGTTTATTAAATAACCATTTCAATCATTTAATGTCGCTATGGTTGAGGATTCAGACACAAACATAAAATGATTTCCCCATAGGAAGTCAGGGACCTGAATAGGAAAAAAATCAAGCACCTACAGCCACTTGAATAACAAATACTATTCACAGGCAGATGTAGGATAGCTTTAAAAGAACAGAAGAGAAAAATAGTCTAGAGATATCACGGGATATTTTTTAGATAAATCACAAGAAACTTTTTAAGTTATATAAGTATGCCCCCAAATTGCATGGACATATATGTTGTCTATAGTTCAAATTTAACTAGATGTCCCTTTTAAAAACCTGATAAATCTGACAACCGTACTGCACGAGGTTTGGACCCAGAACCATGAAACTGTAGGTTCTGTGATAGAAACAGCAAGCACTATACTTTGATAGGTCCAGAAGTGTAAGTCTAAATGTGTACAATGAAGGAACATATATACTAGGGTGGAAAAGGTCTCTGTATTTCTCTAGTAGAATACAGTAAAGAAAATGCAAGTTTTGGCTCTGTCACTTACTAGTAGTTTATCTACTGGCAAGTTATTTCACTTTTCTATACTTTAATTTCTTTTTCTATAAAATGATTTTGTTTCTTTTTTCTTTTTCTTTTTTTGGCGGAACCGGGGATTGAACGCAGGCCTTTGTGCTTGCCATGGAAGCGATTATTCTACTGAGCCATCTCCCCTGCTATAAAATGATTTTGTGAGTGTACCAACTTCATGGATTGTTGTGAGGATTAAATAAATCACTGCGTATAAAACAAACACTGCTTTGTCTCACTCCCCCTCTTTTCCTTCTTGTGCTATAAATTATGCATAAACTGAACTTATGCTAGTAGGCAGTCTAATATTCTAGTTGAGAGTGTAGGTGCTGAAGTTCCTGCACCTGAATCTTGGCTCTTCTACTTAACTGTAGTCTTGGACAAGTTACTTAACTGCTCTATGTCTCAGTTTTTTCATCCTTGAAAAGGTACTGACAGAGCTCACCAGAGTTACCATGACAAATAAATGAGTTAGTTCACATAATTTAATGCCTAGTACATAACAAGCATTTAGTAAAGTTAACCACTATCGTTACTGTTATCAGTCAATTCAGTTCTTGCTCTGCCATGGCATAGCCTTTCACCTAAAGTTTATACTAGGTTGATGACTAGAAAGAGTTTAACCACCATAAATGTCCCAAAATCACATTCTGTACCTGGCAGCTGCTTCTTTCTTCCCATCTTCTAGTGTCCTCCAATGAATATGGTCTCCAAAACCTGGAAGAAAAGAGCTTTATAAACAACCACACAACAAACAAAGGGCACAGATCCAAGAAAGAAGTGTGACATGTTCATAAGATACTCACAAAACAAGCTTTCTTCTGTTGAGAACCTGGTGTTCAAGACTACTACTAGGTATTTACCTTAAACCTCAATTTTTAGACCTATAACATGATGGCAACACTAGTCGACAGTTTTGGGTTTTTTTAATGTAATTAGTACAGGGCCTACAGGGTCTCACTACACAGATCAGACCCATAGTGATCCTCCTGTTTTCAGCCTCCCAAGCATGCCACCGTACCTGGACTTGGTCGCTGACTCAGCACCCTGAGATAGGGCCAGCACTTCACGCCAGGGATAGAACCCGGTCCCTGTGCTCTGCCTAAACAAGTGCTTTAGTCTGCTAAGCTATCTGGCTGGCCCAGCAGGTTTTTAATATTAAATAAAATGTGAGGTGCTTTGTAAGTTGGCAGAGTATGCCCAAATATTACAATGAGAATTTCTCCACAGAGTAAATATACCACAGCTTCTCACAAATCATAACTAGTTAAAAATGACACACTGATATAACTTAGAGTCAGAAACACATGGGCAGGGCCAGCCAGAGAGCTCAGCAGACTAAAGCGCCTGCTTAAGCAGAGCTAAGCAGCAGGGGTTCAATCCCAACATGCTGTGGCGGCCCTGTCCCCAGGTCGTGTTGAGACAATAACTGAGACTGGGTGTCACCACACCCTATAATCCCATCCCAGTGGCACACGCCTATAATCCCATCGCTTGGGAGGCTGAAAACAGGAGGATCACTATGAGTTTGATCTGTGTTATGAGATCCTGTAGAGCCTGTACTAAAATACAAAAAAAAAAAAAAAGCACAAGCAGAAACACATGGGCCCAGGACACCATTTTCCATTAACTGTGTAAATTTTTGGAGTGAATTATGTCCCAATTTCTTCATCTGTAAAATCAAGATACTATCTACCCTTGAGTATTGGTATGATTAAATAGGATAATGTATTTTTAAGTCATTGTTATTATTCCCACAGTTTAGCCAGAGTGATCTTTAAAGTCACCTTACTCCTGGGTAAGAAAACTTTCAGAGGCTTCCCAATGCTCTAAAGATAAAAGGGTCAACTCTTAAAGCAGGGCTTACAAAATACTTTAAGAATATAGCACTTGCAGGGCGTAGTGACAGGCTCCTGTAATCCCAGCACTCAGGAGGCTGAGGCAGGAGGATCAAGACCAGCCTGGGCTATAAAGTGAGCTCAAGGCCAGCCTGAACTACATAGTCAGACCTTATCTCAAAAAGGACCAAAATACTCGTATTCCTCCTCCTATTACTAACAACAATAATAACACAGCACCTGCCCACCTCTCCAGTCTTACTTTCCACATTTTTCCTAAACCCTCATACACAGATGTACTTTCACAGGTTTAAATGCAGCATGTAGTCTCTGACCCCCTGGACTTCATAATTGTTCTCTCTGCCTTTAATCCTTACCTTCACTTCCAACTCAGTTTTTAGTACAAACCAAAAAGTCATGCCTTCCAGCAAACCTCCACTGCCAACCTAAACCAAACCTCCACCCTATTCTTGCTCTATCACATCACCACGCTTCCTAGGCTGAATTGTAAATGTATTAATCTTTCTTACCCCAAGGACACGCCCTAAATGCTAGGATCATATTTGTCCTATTCTTCCTTAGTTTCCTAACATTCAGCGGTACACATAACAAAGTTACTCCAGGAAATAGTTTTTAAGTTAATAAATCTTACTTAGACCAAATCACACAAAAGACTTAATTATATATATCCAGAAAATGTTTATGATCATAGAATTGGTAGCTGCTATTTATTAACTATCTTACAGTGAATGGTTTTTTTTTTTGGGGGGGGGTAGTGGGGATTGAACTCAGAACCTTGTGCTAGCCAGGCAGGCACTGAACTATCTCCCCAGTCCCACTATAAACTATCTTACAGTCTTTGCCCAGCATTCTACATGTGCTAATTAATTTAAATTTGGCCTTAACAAGAATCTATTTTTATTTTGCTTCCCTACATTTCCATTTTCTCATCATTAAAACAGCCATAATAGTCAGGTGGGGTGGCTCATGCCTACAATCTTAGCACTCAGGAAGCAGAGGCATGAGGATTTCTGTGAATTTGAGGCCAGCCTAGGTTACATACTAAGTTAAAGACCAGCCTGAACTACATAGTAGAGCATGTCTCAAAAAACAAAAACAGGGCTGAGGAGATAGCTCGGCAGTCTAAGTCCTTACCCAGCCAGCCCCCCAAACGGCCTAGTAGTGCAGGCCTGTAATCCCAACGTTGGGGAGGCTGAGACAGGAAGATCACTATTTAAAAAAAAATACAAAAACAAAACAACCCACTCCCTGCAAACAGCTATGATTAACATATTGCAGTAATTGTTAGGGTAGACACTCACAATCCCAGCTATCTAGGAGCCGAGGCAGGAGGTGCACAAGTCCAGGCCTTTTTGGGCAACTTCATAAAATCCTGTCTTAAAGTAAAAAAGGGGAGGGGATATAGCTGAACGGTATAGGGCTTACCTAACATGCACAAGGTCCTGGACTCAATCTCCAATATGAAAGGGTGGGAGATATTCCATAAAGATATTACTGAATATTAAATAAGAAAAATTTAGGGGCCGAGGAGATGGCTCAGTAGGATAAGCACTTGACTGGCAAACGCAAGGATCTGAGTTCAATTCCTGGTTCCACCAAAAAAAAAAAAAAAAAAAAAAAAAAAAAAAAAAAAAAAAAAAAAAAAAAATTTATAGTGCTTGGTATTTTGTAAATAATCAGGAAGTAGCAGCTTTTATTGTTCTTTAGAGTGAGATTACTATTGCTCAAGAAAGTCACATTAACTGTACCTGGTCACATTCCTGCTAAATAGCCAAGCTAGGATTTAAACTTTAACTATGTGCCTTTTTGATTATTACATCAGTCTTCCAGAGTTTTCTTTCCCAGAAATAAATTCAAATCTAATTTCCATCAGCACTGCCCCAGGAAAGTAAAATTTTATTTCAATTAGCATATGGAGGCAGTACCCAAAATAGCCATTATTTTTCATTCCCCACAATACTGCCTGCTGATCAAGACAAAATGTGTAATTTTTCTAAGGCTCAAAGTTTGATCCTGAAAAGTGAACTGAAAGTGAAATCAGGAGGACACCCAAGAGGACTGGAAAGTACCTAATTTGATCACCACTGTCCTATACATAATCTCTAAACTCACACAACTCAATATTGCTTTGACAGGATGCCCATTTAAACTGCCCAGTTATCTACCTATAAAGCAATGAAATCATAATGAAATAGACTTCCAGAAGGTACTTACTGGACTTGCAGTAATAATGGAAATCTGTCTATTAATACAAAGCAAGATAACCCCAGAAGATGAACGAGAACAAACATAAGGTAAGGTTGCCCCGAAAACAAACATCCACAATGATGTGGCAAGATGAAGACTCCAAGAGCCAGGGAGATAGCTCAGGGGCATAACGCCTGCCTGGCAAGTGCAAGGTCCTGAGTTCAATCTCAGGTACTGAAAAAAAAAAAAAAAAAAAAAAATCTTACAAACAGCCATTGGTTCAACTCAAATAACAATCTGTGCTAAATCAATAAGAAAGCTTATTTTGGGGGGAGGAATGCCTGTAATCCCAACACCTGACATGCTGAGGTAGGGGGTTCTGGTTTGAGTTAAGAGGCAAGCCTGGACTACATAGTAAGTTCAAGGCAAAAACTGAACTACACAGCCAGATCCTATTTAAAAAAAAAAAAAAAATCAATTAAAGAGAAAAAGGGCAGGATGAAGATTCTAGCCCTGAAAACACAGCAGAATGATCACAGGTCAGTAGTACTTCCTGGTGTCCAGATGAGAGAAAAATTGAATTTATTTATTTTTGGAGGAAGCATTCCCTACATCATCATTCTGTCACATTAAAACTCATTGATTTAAGTGACTACTGTACTCAGACATGTTTTGAAACATCATGTATTAGTTATTGGAAAAAATACCAGTTCACTTAGTCAAACAAACCTTCCAAATGTTCACACATTTCATCATACAATACTTTAAAAACACTCCACAACATTTGTTAATGTCACTGCCTTTTTTTTTTTCGGAAATGTTTTGGAAGCTTTAAAGTTATGGTGGTGAATATAAATTTTCAAGGTTCTAATATTTATTTGTTTCAAAGTTTTCTGAATGGGAAGCTAGAGAGGCTTGGAAGATGATTTTCCTGCACAGTCTTCAAAAGGCACAATCCTGTCAACATTTTGATTTTGGATTTCTAGTCTCTAAAACGGTGAGAAAACAAATCTCTGCTGTCTAAACCACTTGGTGTGTACTTTGTTAGTTCAGCTTCAGCAAGCAAATACGAGACAGCAAAACTAGCAGAGCTATTGTAATGTTCCAGGCAAGAATAGATGATGGGCTGAAGGAGGAAGGAGGAAGAATGATAGGTTCTGGCCCTAGAAGGAATTGCTGAATTACTGTAGTGGTCATCTAACATGGCTAAAACCCTAAAACAACAGCTTATCTTTCCAGAGACCACCTCCCTCTTCTTCCCCAACCCAGTCCTGGACACAATTTCCTTTCACCTTTTCCGTGTCACAAGGAAGACTCCAATCAGCTCCTTTGGTGACTAAATCTGCCCCTCAAACTCCAATCATTTGAAAGTCCAAAATCTCAGCCTCCCATTGTCTCAGGTCAGAGTATTCTATCCCATCTCTCTAGCATTTTCTCCCTGTCTTTAGAGTCAGCAAAGGCCTCTTTTAGGGCCAGTGAAATAGCTCAGTGAACTAAGCACCTGCTTAGGCAAGTGCAGGGACCGGAGTTCCCACCTCATGGGATGCCACACCGGTCCCGTTCCTGGGAGCACTGAGCCGGCCACAGAGACCAGGCGTGGTGGTACATCCCTGTAAGCCCAGTGTTAAAGACGCTGATGTTTATAAAAGTATATCTAAAACAGAAAGACTAGTACAAGTTGAAAGTAAAATGCTAAATAAACACCAACCAAAAGAAAGTTAAGGAAGCTAACCTAGTATCAGGTTGAATTAAATTTCTCCCTAAGTTTATTGTTTCTAGATACTAAAGAATATCACTGTTCAAAAGAAATTACTATTCTGACTAGAGTGTTCTGTACCTGCTAGTCAATATAACACTCACGTGGGTCTACTAAACACACGCAGTGTGGCTAAGACAATTGAGGGCTTTAGGGTGTGTGTTTTGTCTTTTTAAGACAGGGTCTTGCTCTGCAGTTCAGGCTGGTCTTGAACTCACTTTATAGCCTAGGCTGGTCTCAAACTCACATAGATTCTCCTGCCTCAGCCTCAGAAGTGCTGGAATAAGCGCTTCCCTGGCAAGCGCAAGGGCCTGAGTTCAAGCCCCAGTTCCGCAAAAAAAAAAAAAAAAAAAAAATTCTTTGAGAATTCAAATTAAAAAGTACACTAGTGGGGCTGGCAAGATAGCTCAGCAGTCTAAAGTGCTTGCTTAGGCAAGCTTAGGCAAAGTGCAGGGACTGTAGTTCAATCCCAGGCACCACATGCCACACCAGCCCCACCCCCAGGGCAGGCTGAGCGGGCCACACACACAAAAAAAGTACAGTGGCATGTTTAATAATAGTAATCACCACCATCATTTACTGGATGCTTAGTTTGACAGTTATGATGATAATATAATGTTAACAATATTAATGACTAGGGGCTGGCGAGATGGCTCAGTGGCCTAAAGCACCTACTTGGAACAAGCTTGGGAAAGCACAGGGACCGCGGTTCAATCCCCCAGCACCACATGCCAGCCAGCCCTGCCCCCTGGTGGGCTGAGCTGGCCACACACACAATAAATAAATAAATAAATGTTTTAAAAAAAAAATATTAATGACTAATCCTTATGTGGCATCCAGTACACTTCGATAATTTTTTAATGCTTTTACAAGTATTAATTTATATAACCCTCAATAACTTTATGAGGTATAAACTCTAATTATCCCCACACGACTGATAAGCAAAGAAGTTAAATAGTTTTCTCCAAGTTACCCTGCCTAGAAATGGCAGTGCGGGGAACTAGATTAATTGAAATAGTTTTGGATCCCACAGTGTGTATTTACAACCATTCACTACACTTTATTGCTACTCCATTAAACACTAAATTAACAGCCAAATGAAGGAATGCAACCTCACCCAAACAGAAGAAAAATACTAACCTTAGACCTTTTGTTTTCCTTTCAAACAGAATTTAAACAGTGTTTACCTTGCTGCTAAAGTCATCCACGCTCCAGAACCACCCATACTCATCCATGCCAACATGAAAGCATCTAAAGACAGCACATTTCCTAAAAAGTTACCTGCAGAGCCATTTAATTTATGCCAGTTATCTGCAAAGTAAGCTATAGAGGTCTCCAATATCAGCAGCTCTTTCCCTAAAACATTTTTTACAAAGAAAAAACAACTATTTTTAAACAGAGCATTTATATCAGACTTTTCAAACTCTCTGCCCTAAAAACTGATATAAATTGTAAGTATAAACTAAAGACATCAAAAAAGTATTAACCATGTCTAATAGCTGACAAAACTTAAATAACAAAGGGTCAAATGGCAGAGCTGGCAACTAAGTCTCTAAACAGGGGACACTGTACCTGCAGAGTAGAGTAACAGAGACTAAATGTCTGCCCACAGTCACATAGGCCTGCACTGAGATCCTGATTCAGTTGCTTAGTGTTTTCACAAATGGAAAACATGACTAAATAACAAATATGCCTTTCTCATAGGATTTTTGTGAATAAAAATAGGACACCCAGTGGAAGGCGAACACTTCCCAAGTGTTAGTGCCCAAGTTTTATTCTAAAGACTTGACAAAATCATCTGCTTCTGTTTCAAACAAGAGAATAAGTGCCTCTCACGACATCTTTCTAGTTCCTCCCTCTGCACTGAGAGTAGTGCACTAGTTGAGGACGCGGCTCTGGGACTGTGTTCCAGTTAGCCCACTTAATATCAGGGTGAGTCCTGAGCCTCATTTTAGTTTCCCCTGTGAAAAGAGGAGGAAGATGGTAACAAGTCAATGCATGAAAAATGCAAGGATCAGCAGCTGGAAGATGGTAGGTGGACAGGAAATGTTAGTCATGCCCCTTCTCCCCAGAGGTGATCCCCTTGACTCCAGAGGTAAATGATTCTACATTTGTAGCCCACGCAGAACAATTTTTTGGAACTCGAGAATGTTAGAGCTGAAGGGCCCTTAGGAAGCATTTCTAACTATAACTCACGTAATAACTAGACACCAGGGAAGACGAGAGCTGGCTAAATGGCCTGATTCATGCACTAGGATTCATGCAAATGCAAGAGGTAGGGGAGCTTCAATCTGTCCTCTTTATAAATTGCCATGACACCTTACAGAAAGAGTTGGAGCTACTTGAACATTTAGAAAGAAATGTCACTTATCAAAATCTTCAGGAATAACATACTGCCTCAAGGAGCACCTTTTGAGGGAGGTAGAGTAAGTTGGGTATAATCTCTGCCCTAGGAATCCATACACAAAAGATACAAAATGAAAAAAATTAAAATATTCCTTTCAGGAATAATTGAGCATTCTTGCATGAGAGAAAATAATACCAGTTAATGTTTACTAAGTATTTTTAAGTATGTGACATAATACTAAGTGTCTTATTTTTTTCATTTTCACTTATTTTTTGTCAAGCACCTTATATTTTTTCTGCTGGTCATCCTTGCACAGGGGCCTTATGCTAATCTTCTCTGTATCATTCCCATTTTAGTATATGTGCTGCCAAAGGGAGCACTATTTTTTCTGTTTGAATGACAGGTGATTGAAAATTATTTACTGCTGGTGAGATGGCTCAGTGGTCTAAAGCACCTACTTAGAACAAACTTAGCAAACACAGGGGCTGCGGTTCAATCCCCCAGCACCACATGCCAGCCAGCCCCGCCCCCTGGTGGGCTGAGCTGGCCACACACACACACACACACACACATAAATAAATAAATTAATTTAAAAAAAAAAAGAAAGAAAATTATTTACTGAGCCCTGGGCATAATGGTGTGCATCTGTAATCTCAGCACACAGGAGGCTGAGGCAGAAAGATTGCAAAAGCCAGCCTCAGATACAATATCAGAGCAAGGCTGGTCTGGGTTACATAGCAAGACCCTGTTTCAAAAAAAGAAAAAATATTACTTACTGAAGGAGTGATTGCATTCAGGCCCACTGACAGTCCAACCAATCTCATTATCTCATTACTGTACACCAATAAATGTGAAAATAGAGGGTAAAAGCACACAATTAAAAACATCAAAACTGCAACACAATCATCTCATATAGTAAGGTCCGTACAAGAAAATGGAAAAGGGTTTGGGACTCAACTACATCTCATCCGCTTAGCCAAGTTTAAACCCTGAGTTCACAGACTTCAATCCCATTCTCAACTAATAGTTAGAAGATATTCAAGCTCAGAATGAGGATCTCCTGTAGCTGATGGGATGGAGTAGGGGTCCTTATCTCCTAATCTTAACTCATAACCACTGCTAACCCCTCAAAACACAAGAAAACAAAACCCAGTTTCTTCAGACTCAGTGGTAGAACTACACTGAGAAAACTATTGGTGACCTGCTCACAGCAGATCTTCTATCCTTTACTTGGTCCTTTCTGCACACCTTCCTGGGACCCAGATACTGTCTCCCCAGGGCAAGAAGAAGGCAGTAATCTAACTCTTCACAAAGAGTGTGGCTTTTCATATCCAGCTCAGAAGTCCCAGCTCCCCAAGGGCTATACTTCTTCCGGGAAAGAAGGTGACCATTCCTGTGGACCTTCTAGAAGCATAGCATTAACACTTTTCCTAATGTAAAGGCCATTTTTTCCCAGCATGATAATTTACTGAAAGGTTTCAAATATAACTTCCCCTACTTAACCTTCCCCAGACGCACTAATCCTTATCCCAACAAATCAAACTCCACAGGAGCAGTTGGGGAAGATTAAAAAAAAAGAATCTGGCGTCACCTAAGGGACAGATGGGGTTGGGGGCCGTGTTAGGACAAGAAGAGGGTTATACTCCGATAGGGTCCAGGATCAGTAAAAGATTAAGATAAGAACGCGGTCTGACCCTTTCCAAGCCCAATGTATCCATCAGTGGTGACGAGAAGCAGGAAACTGAAGCCCAGCAAACAGGTGGCCCCGAGACGAGGCCACATCTCGATGGTAGTTGGCGCGCGGGGCCTCCCCGCTGAACGGGCACAGGGCTGGAGGCTCAGCAGAAGATCCGCTCGCTCCTCAAGCGCGGCTCAACCCAAGCCTTAGGGTTCCTAGATTTTTTTTTTTTTTTTTCCCCTCAAACTCTGAAGGAAGTGATGTTAGACGGATGTGGGTGGTGCCTCCGGGGTCCGGCTAGGGAGGAAGAGTTTAAAGGTGCAGATCACGTAAAAGAGTCGTGTGGCTGCTTTCGAGCTCGAGTTGTTTTCCTGGGTTCCAAGTCCCGGGTCACAGAGGAAAAAGGTGGGCCAGGGTGATGGGGACAGGGAGTGGTTCGGCGGGCAGAACAGTTGGGTGCATCCTCTAGTCAGGCTAGTCCCGCCCCCTGAGAGTCACTGAATTTAATATTCAAAACGCAGCCTCTCCCAACAGTGGTCTGCTCGCCCGTTGGCCTTGAATTGTCCTTTTCCCTCCTCACGTAAAAAAAGGCTAGACAACCGGATTTCATTCCTGCTCAGGTCTCTTCGAAATCCGGCTGCATTGTAAGATGTCGTACCTGGCAGGCATGCCCTTTACCGCTAGAGTAGCGCCAGGCCTCATCGTTCCTTGCTACCGCTAGTCTTCTACTTAGGGATGATGCAAGGAACTGATGCAAGCTCCAAGAAAGTCAGATTTGGGTCCTCTTATTGCAATAGCTGACTAGGAGTAAGGGAATCAGGGCATAAGTCACTTCAAGCATTTAAAGTGTAAAGGTTCTTCCGGTTAAACGTTTATTTTTGCTTTGGGTGGTTTTATTCCTCGTTTTGCCCGCTTTGCTCTACAGCAGGCAGGTCAAAATCAGCCGTCTTCTGTACTGGTTTGATGGTCCCCAGCACCACTGTGCATTTAATGCATAGTGAAAGACATCCTAACAAAGCCCAAACCAAAACCACACGCAGACCTTTCATTAGGTTCCACACAAATTCTAAGAATGGACACAATGGAATACTTTACGGGACTGCAAGCTCGGGGATGCAGCTCATCTGTCCGCCCGGCTGCCAATAGAACTACTGGGAAAAGCCGAGCTGGCTGGGCTCTGTAGTTGCGTTGTGCGCTCGCGGGATTGGCCGCCGGGAGGGGGAGGGGCCGGCAAAGTCACGTGGGCTCCGCTCCCACCGCCCCCGCTGCGCCCGCTGCCGCCGCCGCCGCCGCTGCCGCCGCCGTCTTTCTCTGTCTCCGCCGAGGCAGCCATCTTGCTCTTGCCGCGTGCTGGTATTGGAGGACCCTCCCAGCTTCAGGTGAGACCCCCGGCGGTCCCGCCACTCCGCGGCCTTGGGCCACAGCGCACGGTGTTCCCCCCGCCCTCTTCTTCCGACACCCGCCAACCGCTCGGGCTGCCACTTCCGCCGTGGCTGATCGAGTAGGGGCGGAGGCGGCCGCCTTGGCCTGTCGGTCACCGGCGGCGCAGCTGGGGGTCGGCACCTGAGGGATGGTCCCCAGCACCACCGCCCCCTTTGGAGGCGGGCGGGTCGGCACTGCGGCGCCCGAATCCTTCCCAGGAGGCGGGTGGATCGCCCTCCCCCGTCCCGCTACGCCTCATTATTCACAGCAACGTGTCCTAAGCTTTGAGCTTTACACAGCCTTTCTGTTGGCATCTCCTTTGATCCGCCCAGTCTACAGATAGGGAACTGAGGTTAGCATCCTCGTCCCGTAGCTCATGGGACCGAACTCGGTTGCAGCACTCTTCATCTTGTAATGGCAGTATTTGTTTACAAAGTGTGGCTTCCTTTTCAGGTACTGCCTGATGATTGCTGGACAGCCACACTAGTACACAGCTAGTGAATGGTGGTTTCAACTTCCGTTCCCACGTTTTTACACTGTAGTTTAGCTGTCCCCTCGCGAGAGGTAAACAATAATTACTAGTTATTGAGTATCTTATGAGAGCTGTGCCCTGTGCTTCACAATCTGACCTTTAGTTCTCAAAACAACCTTGTGAAGTATGTAGTGATACATACATCTTTTCTAATGCAAGAGGATCCCAAGTTCGAAGAAGTACAATACTGCGAAACCTTAAATGGCAGCCTTGGTCTTTCAGCTTTCACATCCTATGCTTATCTTAGAGAAACTTAAGAAAAAGTCAAGCTAAAAGTTCAAGTTACTTTTATCTCTAAAATATGATATATGTGAAAGTACCCATGGCAGAGCTTGAAACTCAGCCACTCAATTTGTATTAACCTCATTATTACAGTCTTTCTTGAGTCCATGAGGAAAATGCTGAAAGATTCTTGGATCCTCAGGGAACCACTCATTAATCATGTGGCTATAAGAAGTTACTTTTTCCCTTTCATCATAGAAATGAACCTCATTTTGTGTTTAAATTGGGAGGGAGATGAACTTTTATTGATATCCTGCAGCAGCTATTTGTGAGGGCCCCACACATATAGGAATGACAAGTACAATAAAGATTGAAGAATAGAGAATTAAGCTAGGTGATCTTTGAGGTCTACTCCTAGATTCTGAGCTTGACATCTCTTCTTTCAGACTGAGGCCAAGCCTTTCCTACTTGAATTCCACACACACCTACTTCTAATAGACAAAGGACCACACTTCCACCCCTACTGCCTTGAGCAGCTAGCTAGCCTCCCTAAAATGTCTTGTCTTTGAAATACTCCTTTGGAAAAAGATACCTCTCAGTTTTGTTATCCTACTCACCTGGAATAGAATCTGTTCTTTCATCTACACATTGATTTAAAGAGATGCTTTTGTTTCAAACAAGTCAGGACTCTTTGTCTTCTCTTCCCAACCTCCATCTCTTCTTTTGGGGATTACTTAAAAATGCAGAAGAGTCCCAAAGGATTTACCCTGTGTTTAGTTCTACTATTTTCACTTAGCCTCCTTTTTGCAAGAAATTCCTTAAGTTCTTTATTAGTTGACTATAGCTGTATGGACACATCCTTTTTTTTTTTTTTTTGGACACATTCTTTTGAGAAAAATGAATATTGGTCCTTTTCTGTGGATGTCTGAATAAAAAAATTGGGACTTACATCATCAGATTTGAGTCTCTGGCAAAGTTAAAAATTGGTACACACCTAACACTTGTTTTGCACACTTAACACATTTCTCATAAAAATATTTTCAGCTGTGTGAGGACTGATAGACAATGCTGAGCAAAGGGAAGTATATTCTAATTGTTACTTAGGAACTGGACTTTAGCCTTAAAGCAGAGATACGTACAGGTTAGTGCAGCATACTAACCTGCATTTTTAAGTTCAGTGTCAGTACAGAATGATTATCAATTATATAATCTTGAATTTTCTTTCATTTCTCAAATGAGAACAGTTACCTTTTTCACCTGAAGTATTCATGCAGAAGATAGAGAACTAGCCAAAAAATGTTAAATGGCCTGTCTCCTTATTCCCTCCTTCACAGCTCAGAATTTATGAGCCACAGAACAAGTCAAACAAAAATTTTAATAAACTTTTAAATTGACTTATTTTTTTGTTGAGGGGGCCTGCCCCTTAGCTCAGTTCTTTAAGTGGCTGCTTCAACAAAGCAGTCAGGCTCAGGTTGCTGGGGTTCGATCCCCAGAACTCTAGCCAGCCAAACCTGCCCTGAAGGCATTCAGAGCAAAAAAAAAAATCCTGCCACTTATTTTTTGTTGATTTTAGTAGTAATAGTACTGAGAATAGAACCAGGGGTACTCTACCACTGAGCAATATCCTCAGCCCTTTTTTAACTTTTAAGATGCAGTCTCATAAGTTGTCCAGGTTGGCCTGTAACTTGTGCAGTCTTCTGCTGTAGTCTCCCAAATGACTGGAATTACAGATACATGCCACCATGCCTGGCTTAAATTTGTATAATGTAGAATGTTAAGATTCATTATAAACTTAAGAATGTTTTCCTTCTTAGAACTATCATGACCAGACTGAAATTTATGGTTTTAAAATGTTTTCAGAATCTTCAAGAGCTATAAAAATCTTATTTTTAAGCATCTCCCCAATTTAGTAATTAATGCAATTGAGATATATTTTTGTCAAATTCTGCAGTGGTGCATTTTACTCTTTTGCTTTTTGCTAAGTGTGACATACTTTGTTACCGCAGGGCATTGGTGAATACTGAAGTGCTGCAGAGGCACTGTCTGGAAATCCTGTTCTGTTTCCCCATTATTAGCACCTCATCTGACCTTGAATAGAGGACGTGACTATTCATATCTTGATAGTTTATTGTTGAATTTCTCTTTCTACTCTTATTTTCTTTTTGTTATCTGGATGGTTTAATAAAGAATGTCATTGGGAGGAGATGATCTACTTGAAGGTTTTGTTGATAACATTTGGTAACAGTTCTCTGCTGTAAACATTTTTGAGGAAAAACTGGCTTGCCTACAGAGATTTCATAATTGGTTAGGCTTTACTGAATGCCAAAGAATTGAATCATGTTTTTAGGAGGAATATTCAATAAGTGACTTAGAATCCCATTGTTTTTTCTGTTTGTGTATTGATTACCTTGGGGTATTTCAGTTTTGATTTTTTAAGTACCTGATTTATGAAGCCAAATAAGTTATTAATATTTACTAAGAAGGTAGTATTAATATGATCATGATGTTAATGCATACTGAAAGCTTAGTGAACCAAAAGGTACTGTTTGCATAAACAGTTTTTTAATTTTGGTAAAACAGTGATTTTAACAAATCTATTTTTCCCCCCTTAGATTTACCAACAGCATGAATCAAGAAAAGTTAGCCAAACTTCAGGCTCAGGTCCGGATAGGGGGCAAGGTGAGTGTGGCATAAGAAAAACTGATAGGAGAATGTATGATTACCAGATAGTATTATTATTTTAGATTTGTGGTCATTGAAAATCTAAAATCCTTTCAACGATCAATATCAAACCACATTCCAGTATGAAAATAATTTGTCTTGAAGACATTTCGTTTCATGGTATGCAGTGGAAATAGCCACCTTTGTTTGACTCCTAACTGCTAGTTATATAACATGAACAAGTTACCCAACCTTGTTAAGCTTCCCTTTTTTTGTCTGTAAAATAGAAACAATTCTAAAAGATGCTTCCTGTAATTAGAGTAACACTTGCAAGACACCTACTGTGGTATCTGTAACAGTGTTGTAGATACTTAATAAGTAATTGATGGCTATTATGTTAGACTCACCTGCAGGGTATGCCAGTTAATAGGGTTTTTTCACCTTGACTGAGTGACCCATAGGTACACTTAGATTCACAAGAGGTTTAACTGGAGATGCTTTGGATAATTAGAAATTTTGTCAGATTTGCCTTCCAAATTCATACCTATTGTATGTTGGTAAATACGAACATGAGTTTTCTTAGTCTGTGTACTTAAGGTGTAAAGAAATGATTGTTCTGAACACCGCGTATTTTTATTTCTCTTCAGCTATGGCCCCATACTCAAGGAGAGTATTCTACCCTTATCTTTGTCCAATATGATGTTTGTAAAAGTGAAGAGGAACCTGAAATCCCAGCACTCAGGAAGCAGGAGGATCACTTGATTTTAGGCCAGCCTAGACTATATAGTATGAGAGGTCTTGTCTCAAAAAAACTGGGCAAGTTTTTAAAAAGGGAAAGGGAAAATAATCATTTATCGCAGACCTTGGGAAAAGGTAGTAGATGGGACACCAGGCCATACTATATCATTTACATTTCTAACCAGCACAACTCCTGGGAGTGGAGACAGTAGAAGGGGAAAGAAAGAAGAGGCATGTACTTTCTCATTTCACAGTGCTGCAATAAACGAGTCTGGAATCATATAAATCATGTAACTGCAGTAGTTGTGTTACACCCTTAGATGTGATGTGATACACCAATACAAAAACTAGAGGTATGCAAGAATACTATACCTACAAAGACTTTATGAAGTACATCATTACTGTACATTCTAAGCCAGTGGTTGATCATCTGTTCTTTTGCCTTCTGTTTATTGAACACTAACCATGTGCCCAGTCCATAATAAATAGACCTGGTTTTGACATAGCTGAGTTCGAAAGAGAGAGATGGTCATAATTATAATGAAGAATAATGAATATTATAATGAAGTACTTTTTAAAGGGTACTTTTGCCTGGGGGATGCAAGCTGAGATTTAAGGATAAATTAGCTTTATCATTAGACAGATGAAAGACTTAATGGGAGATATGATAAAAGGGGATTGTCATTCCCACACGTACAAAGCACAGTAGGTACTGAGATAATTTGGTGGTTAACCAAATGGCTAACTTTAGCTTGGTAGAGTTAGGATATAGAGTACATAATATACAAAGAATAGTAGGAAATCAGAAGACCAGAAAATTTGGCAGTTCCATCATAGTTTTAGATGCCAAACTAAGGAGATTAAGATTCTATCTTGTAGGCAGAGGGCAACTATTAAAGAATTTTAAGAAGGAAATGACAGCCATTTTAGAACAGTAACTGCTGGCAGTGTGGGAAATGAAATGCAAGTTTACCATAGAGACAATTAAGCAGCTGTTGCTATATAGTATGGGATACAGATGTAGGGATTGGAACTGACATGGCTTAATGACTGGTGGGGAATGGGAGATGAAGGGCAGAGAATAGTCTGGGATAACCCACAGAGCTTTGGTTTTAGAAACTGGGTTTATATGGTTTCTATGTGTATCAGATACACAATTTAAGAAATAAAATATTGGACTGATAAACTGTTTAGACATACTGCATTTGAAGTACCTGAGGATCGTTTGCATAGCAAGGAGTTGAGCTATCCGAGTCAGGAATGCTTCACAAATACATGACCATTTATGTAAATAATGGTCTTTCCAACAACTGCTTGTCTTTACAACCTCTGCTACTAGAGCTCTTGCATTGGACTTGTTGAGACTAAAGCCCAACCCTCTTTTTATTTTTACTTTTTTCAAAGGACTGCAATAACATCCAGAGACTGAAACTGTCATTCCTCATTTCAGAAAGTTTTTATTTTTTGGTTGGTTTTGTTTTGTTTGTGACTGGATCTTACTGTGTAGTTCTGGGTGGCCTTGAACACACAGCAGACTTTCTGCCTTGGCCTCCTAAATTCTGGTTCACCGCATGTGCCCAGCTAGTTTCAAAAGTTTTAATCCTCAAAACTCAATGTTGCTTTTAATACTGTTTGAGTTCTGCTTTAAGGTTATATATATTTTTAAAAATTAGCCCTGGAGTTTAATGTATTGTTGTATGTATGTATGTATGTATGTATGTATGTATTTTTGCAGTGCTGGAGATTGAACTCAGGACCTTGTGCTTGCCAGGCAGGTACTAATGCTGCTGAGCTATCTCCCCAGCGTGTTAATATATTATTTTTAAATAGTTTTCCAATGGAAAAGTGTATTTTAGGGTTTGAAGTATTCACATAGAAAAGAGTATTTTGTATTTCAATAGTGTAATTTTCAGTCTCTTGCTCAGGCCAAAATCCTAAACATTCTAGATTCTTCTCTCTCTCTCTCTCTCTCTCTCTCTCTCTCTCTCTCTCTCTCTCTCTCTCTGGTACCAGGGATCAAATTCAGGAGCACTAGATTCTTCTTCTCATATATCAGATCCCTCAGAAATCATGTGTTTCATGACAAACTGACCCCTCAGCATCTCTACCACAGCCCTCATCTCTCACCAGGATTGCTACAGTAGCCTCCTGATAGTTCTCATGGTTTTTCACACAGCAGCTTAGTCATAAGCAAATAGATCAAGTCATCTCTATACTTAAAATATTGAAAGGATTTCTATTACAATTAGAATAAAATCCAACTCCTGTCCATGAAATGTTAGTCTAGGTGATCTGGCTCTTATCTGTCTTTCTAGATTCACTTTTCCTCTTTCTTTCTCATTATGCATTCTGCTCTAACAATACTGACCTGCATTTTCTTTCCAAAAAAGGACAACTTGAGTCTTTATTTTGCTTGAATCAGTTTTCCACTAGTTGTGGGTTTCAACATGTATGTTACCTCTTCAGGGGAACTCTCACTGGTCATTCTAATAAAGTAGTGCTTTGTGTTCATCCACTCTTTCTGTGTTCTTGTTTTCATTTTGTTTTGATTTTATAATCGCCTTTATCTTACTTGAAATAACCTAATTTGCATATGCATGTATTTACTTTGCTGTTATTATAAGAACTTGAACCTCATTCACCTAATAAACATTAATTGTTACTATCTTTAGACTTTATAGTAGAGGTTGGTAAGGGCTGCATTCTGTAGAATGCTTAAAATTCTTATATAAGTATGCCAAGTTGTCTGGAAGTTAAAATAAGTTTTATTAGCAGACAGCATTTTAAAACATAATGTGTTGAAATAGCAAAGGCTAGGTATTGGATAAGAATAAGAACTGGGGGGCCGGGGAGATGGCTCAGTAGAATAAGTGCTTCCCTGACAAGTGTAAGGGCCTGAGTTCAATCCCCGGTTCCGCCCAAAACAAAAAGGAAAAAAAAAAAAAGTCAAGATCAAAAGACCAGGAAAACTTAGTGAAGTTTTGGGGCTGGGGAGATGGCTCAGTGGAATAAGTACTTCTCTGGCAAGCACAAGGGCCTGAGTTCAATACCCAGTTCCACCAAAAAAAAAAGAATAAGAACTGGTTATTTCCCCTGTAGTTATTTTCCAATTAAATAGATATATGATAGGCACACCCATGTTTGCAGCAGCACAGTTTGTAATAGCTAACTCTTGGAAATAGCTCAGATGCCCATTAACAGCTGAATGGATAAAGAAAATGTGGTATTTATACATAATGAGAGTACTATTCTGCCATGAAGAAGGATAAACTTGAGTCATATATAGGAAAATGGTTGCACTTTGAGACCAAAATGTTAAGTGAAATAAATCACACACAAACTTCAATACATATAACATGGTATCTTTTATATTAGAAACCCATATATAAATGTAGCACAAAGGGGAGATCTGCAAAAGGAAAAGGGATAAAAAATGGAGAAGGGGAGTAGAAGACTTAAGATGTGTTATATACACGTACCACACAGGGTGTGTAATTGTTATGTATTGCAAACGTGTACTGATGAAAAATAACTGGGTAAAAAAAAAAAAAAAAGAATTAAGAACTATTTAGAACAGAACTTCAAAAATCTGGGTTAGGCTGACAGTCACAACTGTGAATAGTCTTATTAATCATTACTATTTAGATTTTTATGTTAGATTATTCTGATAAGATGTGATTGTTGTCACTAGTTACTAGGCATACTGACATCTTTTCCAATGATTTTTCAGGGTACAGCTCGCAGAAAGAAGAAGGTGGTACATAGAACAGCTACAGCTGATGACAAAAAGCTTCAGAGTTCTCTGAAAAAACTGGCAGTGAATAATATAGCTGGCATTGAAGAGGTATGATCACTTTGGAGACTTAAATTATATGGCCAAATAGGACATGCACAAGTAATGGTCTGAATTTTCCAAATGTGAAATATCAGCTTAGAAGAATCTTGTTGTCATTAAGATGTCTGTGAGTTACAGCTATTGAATTTGCTTTTTGGGTGAAATCAGGTGATTTAGTGGACAGCTAAGGATTTTCATCCCCCTTTTTATTTTATTTATTTATTTATTTTCATCCCCTTTTTAGACTCAAGGTATTTGTATATATGACAAGTTTGTGGAACTGCTTTTGAATTTTAATATAAAGATTTTTCTAATAATATAAAAATTAACACCAAGATTTCTTCAAATATGGTAGAATTCTTTTACCTTAGGGGCACCTTTGTACTGTGTAAAACCTCTTTATTGCCTCATTGAAAGCCTCCAGCAATAGCTTTACTGGATTATATTTTATTAGGAGTCTCTCAAAAATTAAAATTTGAAATCAACTTACTGGGGTATTTTTGAGAGAGTTTCACTATGTAGTTCAGGCTAGCTTTGAACTCACTGTTGTAGTCTACACTGGCCTCAAACTTGTAGTGATCCTACTGCCTCAGTTTTCCAAATGTTGGGATTACAGGTGTGCTCGAGTTTATTACATTTTAATGATACTATATTTCTCAGATGAGACCAAAGATGAATGTTAGTGTAAAAGATAGTCAAGAAAAAGTGTAACATCAACTGTTTACTATCTGTTTTCATCTACCTCTGCCTAATGATTCTATTTCTTTTTTTTTTTTCATTTTTTAATTAATTTTATTGAGAAAGAAGTAGCAATGAGACAGTCTCAAAACAGGTTAGTAGGACAGTTACAATAATTAATACATTCCATATTGTTGTCTTTACAGTAGGTATTCATAGTATAAGATGCAGACATGATATCTTGTCTAAACACTATTAGTACAAATCTTTTTTCTCATTGAACTAAGAGAAAGTAGCTGTATAACTATCCTATTATATCTTCC